ACTATTTAAACTAGGTTATCTACCTAAATAATTGAGTAATTAAGCATTGGTTAATTTTAATTAAAGACTTAAATATACATTAAATCCATAGCAACCATTTAATTATCTTTATAAATATAAATGAATAAAAATGGAAATTCTACTGGGATTTCTTACTCCAATTTTCCTTCAACTTCCCAAGAACCAAAGCAACAAAAATTCTTCTCATCCAAATTAATCCCAAATCTCATCGCTTTGAACTGTCAAACCCACTACAAAACCTCTAACATATATCACTGTTGTCCAGTAGAGTTTATGTGCAATCAACTTGAATTGCTACAGTAAATAAATGCTAATCATACCAAAAGGGTTGCTCTCTATACTTGCTCTTTCTGCCTTCTTCTTTTGATGAACAGCATAAATCCCAACAAGCAGTGAAAGTAGCAGAAGTACAGAGCCACCACCAGCTGCTCCAATAATGATGCCAATAGTTGATTTTTTGGAGTTCTTTGGTTCATCTGAAGAAGCCACATATGAGCATAAAAAGCGTGGAGTGACGTAAAATAAAGCTAAATTTTACGGTTCTATAATAATTGTGTAGATACCTGAAAAGTAGTTGTAAACATCACCATTGAAAAAATAAGATCCCCAAAGAGTATCTGGTAGCGGGAAATAAGTCACGTTGCTAAATGCAAATGCAATCATAGAAATTCCTGTTCGATTGAAACTAGTTTGGCCGTATGGAAAGACATTAAGGTCCAATCGAAGAAATTTAGAAGAATCCATTCTTGGATTACTTAGTGAAACTGAATCAACCGGAAATTTATTGGACTCGAAGAAATGCATCAAAGAATCCTGCAGAGCCTTATATGTGGTTTGGTTCCCCAAGTCTGAGAAGAAAATTACTCTAAAAAATAGAGTTCCTGTATATGGATGTGCACACATGCATGTGGGGCTATAAACCTGGTCTGAACTGCATGTACGAGGCGGGCAGTTGGAGCGAGGGGTAGTAAACAAGGGTGTGGAATTTGATTGTGGGAGTGCACAGTAAGTCTCTGTTATTCCTGTCTCATGACAAATGGGATTACCGAAAAGTCTGCACAAATTAATAAAATTCAGTCATGAGCAAAGAAAGACATTTAGAAGCCTTAACATTTAAAGAGGATACGTCTAAAGGCAATTTGACCTCCAAGTAATAAGAGCCAAGATCTTAAGCGAAAACAAATTAATGGGAAAAAAAAACCCAGAAGAAATAATTCTCTCACTTTATCTCAATTTTGTGTTCTCTTTTTTCATTGAACCCATCAATATCATTATTCTGCAAATCTACGAGCCACAGCCGGTTAAATTTTGTGCCTATAGACAAAGTGCCATTTAACTGGTTGTCTTTTAGTTCTCTGTACAAGGTGACAAAGATAGAAATAATTAGCCTCCAACTATCATCTCCAGAGTTTGGATCAACAGGATATGTTTGACCATAGTTATGAACATCCATGGCAAGGAATGGTAGTGCCTGAAGTGAAGCTGATACTCACATAGTCTGCAAATTTGGAAGGCTGAAGAGTTCCGTGGGAACCTGACCTTGAAGTTGAGTGCTTTCCATCCTCCTGCCTTGCAAAGAAATCAATTGTTCTTTTAACTTGATAGGAAACCCATCAATGTGTATGCATTCAGGCATACATGGACATGTGTCCATGAACACGCAGAAAACAAAGTAAAAGGGCAAGGAAGAGAGGGAAGGAAAGAGGGAGGAGCAAAGAACACATTCAGAGATTGATTTATTATGCCATTTACTAGCCTGATTTTTACACATCTTATCGCTGCTAACAGTATCATTGGGGATGGAAAGATATTCTGGGCGATCGCTTGACAAAACATATGGCCCTCAATGAAGTGTGACGTTAAAAGGAAATATTTGGCTTCTTCATTTAAACTAGAGAGAGTGATGCAGATAAGGAAGGAAATAATATATTTATTAAGAGTTTATCTTTCAATAAAGATTCTGATTAATAGTCTAATTAGTTATTAAGTCTAATTAGAATTGAAAGTCTTCCTGAAATTCCCAATTCTATTGTTCTCTTCTTCTCACCCTTGCCTCACAGGGAGAGAGAGAGAGAGAGAGAGAGAGAGAGAGAGAGAGAGAGAGAGAGAGAGAGATGCACATACAATGTTGTTAAGGACGACAAAGATGAAACCCATCTAGGAATCGCAGAGGAATCGAAGCTATTTTTACTCAAGTCCCTGCAGAACACAATCATATTATTAGAATGAAAATCAATGACAACAGTATAGGATTATATGAATAACAATTTCAACTGGAGACATAAAAGTGCATGCATTGCAGACACATAGGAAAGGGAGAAAAAGACTAAGAAAAAAGGGCTACTTTAGTTATTATGGAAAAGGCATGCGCTACTTACAAGGTTTGGAGACTGCTCATGCCAGTAAGGTTGGGTAAAGTACCGCTCAGAGTATTGTTAGACAAATACCTGAAAAGAAGTTTACAAAACATTGTCTATTAGGGAAGATAAATTAATAAATGCAAAGACTGCTTATCTTCCATCTTTTGCATGCTTACAAATCAGTAAGATTT